TGCCTATAGTCCTAGCTACTTGGGAGACTGAGGCAAGAGAATAGCTTAAGCCCAAGAGTTTGAGGTTGCTGTGAGCTGTGATGCCATAGCACTCTACTGAGGGTGATCTAGTGAGACTCTGTCTCAAAAGAAAAAAAAAAAAAAGAATAAATAAATTACAATAAAAAATTACGATATCGAATGGAAAGTGCTCTCCTACATTCAAGAAAATCCTCCTTTAGCTGGGTCCCCTCCACCACTCCTGAGGTTTCTTGGGACCTGCACTGACTGAGGCTTCGAGGCTTTCACTTCCCCTTTTCCTTCCCTGTCTCTCTTGCAAGTCACCAGAGTCAAGCCTACCAGCCATTTTGCAAAGGGTTTAGAACAGTGGTTCTCAACCTTCCTAATGCTGCGATGTATTTTCATTGCTACAAAGGGGTCGCGACCCACAGGTTGAGAACCACTGGTTTAGAATGACCTCCCCCCAATTTTTTTTTTTTTTAGATACAGAATCTCACTCTGTCATCCAGGCCAGTGTACAGTGGCATAATATGATCACTGCTCACTATAGACCTAGAACTCCTGGCTCAAGCAATCTTCCCACCTCAGCCTCTTAAATAGCTGGGACTATAGGCATGTATCACCATGCCTAAATGGTGATAAGCGTGTATCACCACACCTGAATTAATTAATCAATTGATTGATTAATTAATTTATTTATTTTGTAGAGACAGGGCCTAATATATTGCCCAGGCTGGTGTCCAGCTCCTGGCCTCAAGTGATCCTTCAGCCTTTGCCTCCTAAAGTACTAGGATTACAGGTCTGAGCCACCACATCTAGCATAACCAAAATTTTAAACAAAGACCAGATGAAAAGGTGGGGCTCAGTGGTTCATGCCTGTAATCCTACCACTCTAGGAGGATCACTTGAGTTCAGGAGTTTGAGACCAGCTTGAGCAAGAGTGTGACTCTGTTTCTACTTGAAATAGAAAAATTAGGCTTGGCGCTTATAGGGTGCCTGTAGGGCATCAGTCACACACACCGGAGCTGGCGGGTTTGAATCCAGTCCCAGCCTACCAGACACAATGATAACTACAACCAAAAAATTAAAAAAAAAAATAGCCGAGTATTGTGGCAGGCACCTGTAGTCCCAGCTAGTTGGGAGGCTGAGACCCCAAGCTGACAGATATGATAGCGTGTGACTTCTAAGGTTAGGTCATAAAAGACACCGTGGCTGCAAACTTGCTCTCTCTTGGATCACCTTCTTAAGAGAATCACTTAAGCCCAAGAGTTTGAGGTTGCTGTGAGCTGTGA